TTTGCTGTGTGCTATATTTTAGTAGTTTTCACCAAAATAACTTTCATGTGGCAGTGAATCACTTCCTTCACTTCATAGAGCTTGTAACTAGGATCCACAAAAACATGATTGAATTGTGTGCTACTTCTAAAATGAATTCGCATAAATCTGTCTTATTTTGTTTACTTCCTATTTCCATCCCTAAGAGCTTTGTCACCGTTGCAGCTTGATAGGTTGGTAACTCTTAGTGGAGGGGGGTGTTTTAGAACAGGTTAACATCACACTCCACTCATAACCAGAAGATCGCTAGATCCTCCGAAAAAATTAATTCAGAGACCATGAATATTAGTTCTATAAAATTGTAGGGTACTATATTTTATCAACTCAAATTATGGTCCAAGATCCCTCATCGTTTCAGTTTCCCCATTAACAAATCTCAAGGAAACTAGTCATTATTCTACAATTATAAAAATTAGAAATCTATAAAATTAATTTGATCTTTGAGAAAGCTATTAACAAAATACTTTTCACACAACGTGTAATATTCAATACAGGTAAGGAATAACAAGTTCTATATGCAGAATCATATGGAAATAAATTTGTTACTTCACAATTTTTAAAAATTCTATAGCTATTTCTAGTTTTGTCATTAGCAATAAATTGCATGTAACATTTCTGCAATCAGAAATACTGAAAGTATATTAGGTAATGTTCTGAGTAATATTCTTTTCATTTTTGTAAAAATCAATTAAAATAATTTTATAAATATCAAATTATGTAGGAAAGATTTTTTATTTGTGAATAAGACTGCAAAATATTTGTTCTTTATATAAATAAACCAAATTAAATTTATAACATCAATTTTTGTACTAAAAGTTACAGTTTACTAGGTAAACTGTAACAAATCACTATAACTTAACTATTCTTAATGAACATTGTCAGATGGTCTTTGAACTTGCAGACAGTCTCTAGCAGATTAATAAATACTTTGGAGAAAAATTAGCCCTTCAAATGTTCATGTGCTCGGCTACTTCCTTTTGTCAAAGAAATGCTGCAGTTGCTCAACGTAAATAAAAATACACATAATGACCACAAAAAATTCAAAGGTGAATTTATATTTATTAAGCAACTGCATTATCATTTGCCTATTAATTAATGCTACATTCTATCTGTTGGACATCAATTTGCATATTAATACGCACATTTACAAAAACAAACATTTGGGTCCTATGTTTCTATAAACATTCTATTAATAAAAAGGAAAAAAACAAATACGATCAAAATGTTTAGTTGATCCAGATGCACTCAAAGAAATACTTGCTGAATTCTCACTACAGGTTTCAAATTGAAGGTGCAGGTATATATTACCCAAAAAACACTGATTTATGGTCACCATAATCATAATAAAAATAAAAATAATAATAATAATAATAATAATAATAATAATAATAATAATAATAATAATAATAATAATATTATTTTATTTAAAAAATCGTCTAGAAAAACAATTTCAAGACAAAAACTCAAATCAAGTCCTAATTCAAGAGTTGTTAGATAGATTTTTAATTTTCAGTTAACTTGGATGGCTGCAGTGGCTAAGAGTGTGCACCAACTTAGCGCTTTGGTCCAAAGGGTTGCGGGTTTGACTGGTTGGGCATGCCTTGGACATGGTTGTTTGTCCTTTTATCTCGTGTATGTGTTGTATGGAAGGCCTCGAGTTCTACTGATCGCAGATCAAAGGAGCCCGCAAAGTGTATTGATGTCTAGTGTATGGTCGAACATGTGTCCTATTGGGACGCAAAGGGTAACCGGCTGTCGGCTGGAAAAAGCACCACAAAGAATAATTTAATTTTCATATACAAACATTTCTGCATTTACGCATGGCTGAATGTTAGTTTCAGAGATACTCTATTTAAAGGTTACCGTAATTATCGTAATATTTTTTAGAGGTATTTATGTCCACACCTTCATGAAGTCTGCTTTGACCATCAAGGTCATAATGACACAATATTCACTATCAAAATTATCAATTGCTACGAATTCCTTACACCGTTGTCTTGCAAAATCAATTTGGAGTTTGCACTCATTTCCAGTGTCTGATTGCTTGGTTTGATACTACTCAAAATCATTAAAATTTTGTAGTAATTTCAAGCACACATCATAACCTGGATGAAATGTGTGGTGAACAACTTACTCTAAAATAAGTAGTCATTTTTCTGATTACTATAATTCTAAATGATTTCAGTACTCAAATTAAAACAGCAATAGTATTGAGTGATTTTTTTTTTTTTGCAGTGCTACCCGTTCATATTTTAAATTAGTTTCGAATTTTTTGAAGTATTTGTAATGTGACTGGTTAAGAAAACTGAACAATTTTTAGTCCTTTTGTGATATAGATTTTCTAATATTTACATCCTTTCTAATATGGATCCATGCAATTTTGTTGCAACAGCAATTATTAGAAGAAGAATACAGTTGACTCTGGTTATAGTGAACTTCTGGGAACTAATATTTTTGGTTCACTATAACCAATTATGTCAAAATTAATCAGAATTTCTCCCCATTTATTGATTTTTATAATATACAAATGCGGCAAAATACATTAACAGCACAAACTAAAAATTTCAATATATATATATA